TTTTTTTTTTTTTTTTTTTTTTTTTTTGTTTTTGGTTGGGTTCAATTTTTTGAAAACCGGACAAATTCGGTTCAGTTACGGGTTCAGTTAAGAGTATTCATATAACTCGATAACCCGACCAATACAAACTATCCAACTCAACCCAAACCGAAAAAAGCTGAGTGGGGTTGGGTTAGTTTTTTCTTTTCTTTTCCTTTTTTCTGTTTTGGTTAGGTTGAATTTTTTGAAAACGGGACAAATTCCGTTAAGTTACGAGTTGACATTTTTTTGATCGAACAATGTGACGAACCCAAAAATAGGGTTACAACTCAACCCAACTTTTAAAAATATTAAGAATATTTATCGTTGGTAACGATTTTAGTGATGTGTTTTAGTTTGTAAATGTTTGAACTACGGGAGATTTTAGTTATTAATGTAACATGTATGATATATAAGTATAATTTTTTTTTTTTAAATAATTAAAAAAATAGAACAACTCGACAACTCAACCCGACCCTTGAGTTATGAACTCTATTCAAATTGCTTAGGTCCAATTCAACGAACCGAATATTTAAATGTGCTTACGTATAGGAAAAGTCGAGACACTATTGAGAGACTAGGGGTAGCATTTTAAAAATGTGGATTAAAAAAAATACTTTCCCTATTAGCTTTTAAATGCTACAACAATTATCGCAGACGAAAAATTAGGTCAATGTGAACATCGACTACTAGAACGTAGCGTACAATTTAGGTCAAATTCTTTTTGTAGCCTCATTGCTTTGAAACGTCTTTGTCACAAGCCATAGACACTCATATACCATCTAAAAAGAAAAGAGTAGCATAAACGAGTATAAAAATATTCAGTAAACAACAGCTCATTTACAGAACTATAGTATTTAAATATACCAAAATTGTGGATTCTTGATACTTAATCGTCGTTGGGCCTTGATTGTGACTTAACGGGTCTAGATGTACGTCGTTCTTGAAGCCAAATGAATTTAACCCAAAAATTAGTCTAAAACTAAACATAAAAGATTTAACAATTAAGTGTTGATTCATAGTCATTTAGTTCATACCAAAGAGAAATGAAGTCGGTACAAACAGTAAATGACCTTGTGTTGATTACACGTATGTGATCGAGTAATTAGCCATTGAAATCATTAGAAATGGATAATGTCGAAGATCGTTGGAACCCCACGTTGACTAATTAACGAGAAAATGATTGATTATGAGTAAGATTAGTTTATAATCATAAGCGTATAAGTGAGCTACTAGCTTAGTATATTTTTGTACTCATTTGTGCTACTCTTCTTACTCGGACAGTACTTGAGCTTGTATGGCGAGTAACACATAGGTATCGAAGCTGAAGAGCTATAAAGCTTAGAACTTTTAGATAGCATATTCAAAATACGTGAAAGATCGCATCGTAGCTTCCATTATATACTTATTGGTATGATTTTAATATCAGTCTTCTTGATAGATATTAAAAAAGTCGAGTCGTTACAATATATCTTAACTATTTGACTTACGCTCGAGTTTTATTCTTTACGAGTCAAACGTCATTATGGGTCATCATGGCAAGATTAAGAAATTTTTTTAGGGAAAAAAGTGGGTTTTAAGGTAACAGTAAAAAGATAAGACATTGAGATTAAAGGAAAGTAAATAAAGTTGAGAAATCCAAGTGTCAAAGACATAATTATATGTAGAATAGAATAATTTCTTTTCACACCCATAAAGCATCAAATATCTATCTACACCCACGTTTTCACTTCACCAAAATAGAATTTTAAACGGTATATGATGTCTGTTTTAGTTTATTACGTATTATCGTCAGTTTTACGGTTTTAAAAACGTGTATTAGAGAGGGGTGTTTCTTTCCCTTCTTCGCCCCCCTTAGGAGCCCAACGTCCTTGTTGGCACACCGCCCTGACTCTGATACCATTTGTAACAGCCCAGGTCTAAACTGTGAGGCTGACAGCCATACGTAACAGGTCAAAGCGAACAATATCGAACTTCGATAGAAGGACTTGAATGAAGAAGAGGAGAGAAATGGGTACAGAGAGCTGCGCGATTCGACACCGTGCATGCGTCGATATCCGTTGAAGATCGAGAAATTGGTATAATTAATAGTTGGTTTTTTTTAAATGATATGAATAAAGAAAAAGGAAGTATGGTGGCATTTTTTAGGGCTTTAATGTGTTGATTAGTGGAGTGATATCAATTATGGTTAGCCATAGAATTGACAAAGCACCAAACTAAAATGTTTTTATATGTTCGGTTTTTTATCCTTAAAAGCAATAATAGCAAAATCCCATTGCATGGGGAACAACATAGACAAACTTTATCCAACCAAATTAAGCTTCTAATCTATTGTGTTCTTTCTTATAGCACGTACGTGTGTGTATATATATATATATATTAGTATTTGATTTTACGAGGTGTTATTTGTCAAAGATATTTAATCGTTTATTAGAGGCATATCTAAATATTTTCCTTAGACTTACCATATTTGTCCTTTTATTAAAAGTAAATATATTATTTTAATTTATTATTCTTTCTTTTTATTTAAAAAAAAAAATAACATAATAATTCACATTACTTGGCAAGTATGCCATAAATCATATGAAGCAGGTAAAGATTTGTTACCAAAGACCGAAATAAAAGGTAGAGTTGTCGCGCTCCAGCACGTATAGCCCTCTGTTTTTTTTACCGGTTGCCATCACCCTTTCTGATTGACGATTTTGGATAGTAAGAAGATTATTAGTAAATGTAAGAGAGAGAGAAAAATCAGACGTTAATTTACTGAAAACTTGATAAAAAAATCTGATGACGATTTTGATTCTGATATAATTTAATTAGTAAGTGTTTGACGATTCTGATATAATTTAATTAGTAAATGTTTGACGATTCTGATCTTAAGAGGTGTTATCAAGATTAGAGGTGTTCAAAAAATTCGATGACTCAAAAAACATGATCAACCCAACTCAACCTATAATTTTAGGTTGAATTATGATTGGGTTGAGTTGAGTTTTATGACATAATTATATATATACATATTTATTCTATTCTTATTTAGTTTTACCAAAAAAAAAATCAACTTTTAAAAATAATTTTCTATAAAAAAATTTAAAATAAATAAATAAAAGTTTTAGGAACTAACCTTTCACCTCTATTAAAAACAAAATTTTGAATAAACCACTTGAACGAGCTTAATCAACCCAACACAACCCAGAAATTTATAGTTGGATTGTGTTCATTCTTTAACAACGATTGCTCGGGTTGAAAATTTTTATACTTGAATAATTAAAATTGGGTTTAAACAAACCCGACCCAACCCAACGGAATTTAGAAGGAAAAAAAAATCAAAATAATAATAAAGATAATATTTTTGGAAATTGACTAATCCCACTTCTCTTCTAGGAGATTCACCAAAATAATCATAATAATAATATTAATTATTATTATTATTATTATTATCTTTTTCATTAAATTGTCTTTATTATTATTATTATTATTCTTATGTAGATGTATCTAAGTGTCTATGATTTACTAATTTCATATGAATTTCAAATTTTAGGTTTAGACATTATTTTATTTAGGTTCTACTTTTTCAATTTTATTTTTCTTCTTTTAAATCTCGTTTATTATATAAAAGTGATCGTAGTCTCATGCTATAATTGTTTTGTTATAGTTACTTAATCAAAACGGAATATAGTGTCAGCTAATCAAGAACACGTGATTCTAAGTAGAATAGTCACTACAAATAGTATATGTAACACCCGAGTAAAGAAATAGTATATGAATGAACTGTGACCATATTCAAAGAAGAGCGATCCTGAGAATTGAATTGCTAAGAAAAACTTAAAAGAATTCGAAGTTACTACTTATATCAACAAAGTGCATACTGTTTTCGGTGGCTTAATTATAGGAACTCCAAATTTAAGTGGGTTTTGTTTGGAACAATTCTAGGTTGGGTGGCCTCCTGAAAATTTTGGAAGAAGCGAAAAAAAAATAGGTTTGAAGAAGTGAAGACGGGGATGTCACTAACATATAATGTCCTCTTTGAGTTTTTTCTTCTGGGATTCCCCTCAAGGTTTTAAAACGTGTTTGTTTGTAAGAGGTTTCCACACGCTTATAAAGAATGTTTCATTCCCCTATGGGATCTCACAATGTCGCACGAGATTTAAGTGAATGTTAAGACCCACAAGTGTCGGAACTAGATTTCGAATTCTTATTCGAATCTTGGCATGGATCGGTATAGTATACGTCTTTATCAATAGATCTCTCTCCATAACAAACGTCGAGCTGATGTAACGACAGTAGAACAATAGTATATTGTTTCAGATAAGTGGTGATTATGAGACGGTTTACATAATCTTCTCTCAATCAAAAGTCTCGTTTTTACCTAATCGTTGTCCGTGAAAACTATTCTAGCCTCTAACCATCCTTTATGATATTACGAGATAACACTTATGTAACAGCCTAAGTCCACCGCTAGTAGATATTGTCCTCTTTGAGCTTTCCCTTTCGAGGTTTCCCTCAAGACTTTAAAACGTGTCTGCTAAGGAAAGCGGTGTTTCGTTCTCCTCCCCAACCAATGTGGAATATCACATTATACTTCTCCGAATTAACGATATCATTATTGAAGCCATAATATACGAAAAATAAAGTTTATGAAATTGTTCTTTTATTCAATTGGATAGAACAAAAGTAAGAATAATAATCAATAAAGGGTCTCTTTTCATATTCAAAGAGTGAAATCTTTGATCTTTGTTAAAGTTAATATGTAGAAGAATTAATAAAGGGCAATGGGTATCTTTTTGTTTGGTCAAGGGAGATAAGGGTTAGTTGAAATAAGAGATTGAGGTATCAAAAGCATGCGAAGAACAACGAAGGGGTTGCCCTTTGTTCAGAAAAGGTTGAGATTTTTTAAGTTTTTTTCGCTAATTTTAGTCGTGCAGCATCTCATCTTGACACGCTCATAACAAGCTTTAAAAGGAACTCAAGCCCCATTCATATTTTTTTGTTTGTTTTTGCGGGTTCGTCGGACCTTGAGCGAGATTCTCTTTCACCAACTAAACACAACTTGTGTGGAGTCTAAGCTTGATCGGCCACACACGACGTCCGTGCGTGCATGTTCAATCGTTTGCGTCAACTTACCTCTACACTAGGTCAAGTCATCCAGCTTTGTCAGAATTTAGTGCAACTCATTTTAGTTTGAATTAGTTATGAAATATATGATATTAGTAATTTTGAACAATATACTAGTTAGGATTTAGTTAGGAGTATATTTTATTTTATTATCAGGATTTAGTTAGTTTATATTTTCTTTGTAGATATTATTTAGTATCTTGTATTCTATTTAAAGGTTGTGAATATGAATGAAGATTGAACATTCGATCCCAATTCTTTTTCTTATTCTTAAATCTGTAGTCTTTCGTTGAGTAATAATATTTTCATATCTACTCACACTTTTGAGTGGTAGATATTGCGTCAAGCTTGACCTTGCCTCTACTCTAGACCAAGATCTCTCGTGTACAATGTCGCATCTCAATTATCATCTTAGTTCTCAATAACACGACCCATACATCATAATGGCATCCCATGTCTCAGGACAACTCAGTTATCTTGGCTTGCTTAGATATGCCTATCGAGACCGACCCATGTGTTGCTCATCTCATTGATCTGGGTTATCAAGACATGAACTCTCTCAATCCATGTCATTTTTTTATTATGATACAGTTATATATACATATATTTATTTTATTTTATTTTGTAACTATTTGGAAGATAATTTTTAAAATATATACTCAAATTGAGTTGAATTTGTGGATTCAATGCTTGATAAGAATGGTTTGAGTTGAAAAAATTTACTAACTCGTACAATTGGGTTTGGTCTACAAAATGTCTCAACCCGATCCAACCTAACCCACGAACACTCCTAGAAGTCAGGTTATTACAATTGGATAAATATATATACGAAATGGAAAACAAGAAATACGAACATTATAAAGTCTAAAAAAAAAAAACGTGACAAGACAAAGATGATGTTGACTAAAAGTCAATGTCGATGAAAATGGGACAAACCAAAGTCATCTTCAGCTCAGCTATGTCTCGTTTTCACTCCCACTCGTCCTTTTAATCCCTCTCGATCCTATTTCAAAACTTTACATTTAGAAACCTATAAAAGACCCAAAAAAAATTATTTCATATCAAAACTATTATTGGGTTTATATATTTTTTTTATGAAAACATCAATTTTTGTTTTAAATTTTGACAAAGACTAAGCATGTTTGGTCAGCCATTGGTTTTTCCTTGTATGGACCCATCTCATTTATTTATTTATTTTATTTTATTTTAAATAAATAATTTTAATTTTAACTTTAATGTATGGCCATTGGGACCAAAGAGTTGAAATCTTGGAAGACAAGGATGAGATGGAACAGTGACCGACCTATGTTCTAGCTTTTCACCTCAAAAATGGTACCATTTTTTTCTTATGCTATTCTTTGCTGTCATTTTAATTATGATGCTAGGGTTAGCTGGATTGCATTTAACACGAGCATTGTACGTCGTAGTTCTTGAACTCGGTAGTTTCCGTTCTTTCGTGTAGGGGTGTAAAAGGTTGGGTTGGAAGTTTCGTGATGGTTAGGTTAGTGACTCAAACAACTTGGTTGGAGAGGAGAACGAAACATTCTTTATGAGGGTGTGAAAAATTCTCTAACAGACACGTTTTAAAATTGTTAGGTTGATAACGATACGTAACGGGCAAAAGCGGATAATATCTACTAGTGGTGGGCTTGAGCTATTGCAAATGGTATCAGAGTCAGATATCGAGCGATGCACCAGCGGGAACGTTAAGCCCTCAAGAGAGGTGGATTGTGAGATCCCACATCGGTTGAGAGGAGAATGAAGCATTCCTTATAAAAGTGTGAAAACCTCTCCCTCGTAGACGCGTTTTAAAACCATGAGACTGACGGTGATACTTAAGAGACAAAAGCGGACAATATATGTTAATGGTGAGGCTGGGTTGTTACAAGTTCACAACCCAACCCAACCCAACCTCGGTTGAAAAAGTTCTATTTATCTGCGATACATGTTATATTAATAACTAAAATATCATAAAATTCAAATATCAAACATTTACAAATCACAACGCTACTAACCTCAGTTACAAACGTTAATTATTTTTAACCTTTTTAAAGATATCAACTCACAAACCGAACTGAATTTTCAATTTTACAAAAATTCAGCCTAACCCAAACCGAAAAAAATCTAACACAACTTAACTTTTATGGTTTTGATTAGGTAGTTTTAGTGAGTCGGATTATTTGATCATATGAACATCAACTTTGGAACATAGTTGAAGTTATTTGTTTATAACAAAAAAAAAATTATATTATTTCATGATTCGACATAATTTAAGAGATTAAATGTTTGTATTTTTTTTATAGGGGTTTGTTTGAATACCGGTTACCTTGATCATAATTTGATATCTTTAAGAAAAAAAGAAGAGAAAAACGTCTTGACCTATTCGGGAAAATGATGGTATGATGATAGGATTAGTTGTATTGCACTCAACTCGTGCATTGAATGTAGTTGTCGAGTATTATTTCTATATTTTAACTTTTGAAATCTTATTGTAATAATTACGTGACATCTAAATGAGTGGTATATGAATGAACTGAGTAAATCTCTTATATTAGTAATAAAAGTTACCCTACTTTTCCTAGTTCACTATAAAAACACATTCTTGATAAACCCTAATTACTTTTTACTTTTTCTCCCCGTTCTTGTCTCTTTGCAAAATAACATGAAAAGTGATCGATTCGTGGTTAGATTGAAAGTAACTGCCATGATCGATATTATAGCTAACCTTCCATGATTATTAAATAATTGTGTGTGGATTATTAAGAGAGAGCGATATATTTACATCCATATGAAAGATTAAGATTGATGTACGATATATATAACTACGATTTAGGAAAAGAAGTATATATGTGATATCTGAGTAAAATATGGTACAAGAATGAACGAGACCACATCTGAATGAGAGTGGTCATGAGGATATAACAGAGCGTGTTTGATTTGGAATAATTTTATGTTGGGTGACCTTCTGAAAATTTATCGAGAAAGTATATCAACGAAAACAAAGCATGTTAAAAGAAACTGTGTTGGTTTGTTGGAACAGTATTCACCTTATAAGAAGTTCAAGCAAGCAAGTAACATGTTCATGTGTAACAGCTCAAGCCTACTGCTAGTAGATATTGTATGCTTTGACCCGTTACATATCGTTTGCAACCTCACGATTTTAAAACGCGTCTACTATGGAAAGGTTTGCACACCTTTATAAGGAATGTTTTGTTCCCCTCTCCAATCAATGTGGGATGTCACATCATCTCACGGAGAATGTTGAGACTTTTTCAATGTTGAATTGACATCTCACGAGAGAATGTTGAGACTTTTTCAGTGTTGAATCCAGATTTCAAATTCTAGTCTAAATCCTGAGTATGTGACATTACAAATGGTATCAAAGCGAAATCCCTCCTAGTAAGATGTGGTTTAAGGATGAACCAAGGTGAAAGATAGTGGACATGTAACACCCGAATAAACGAGAAGCACAAAGAATGCTACGAACATCAACTGTCTAATCCAGATCCTAAATCCTGTCTAATCCAGACCCTAAATCCTTTCTAAATCCAAGACGTAGAGCATTATAATACAAATCTTGGAGTTGAAATCTTTTTTCTTTTAATATTTTGACATCGGAAACGAATATTTAAAGGAATTGGTTAGTAGTAAAATTCAACGCAAACTAACTAAAATGATGCCTCAAAGGTACTTTATTTTGTTAATCAAAAGACTTCTAGAGGAGAGAAAAAGTTAAGAGCTATGTTGTTAATCTATCCCATAAGATTTGAATGATTCAATAGATTACATTTCAATGATAAAGTAAAAAGGAAAAGAAAAGAAAAAAGAACTCTCCTTACTTGTAATAATTTCTTTTTATCTAAAGTCATATTATTTGGGCATCAATTATTTGCTAATCCAAATTAAACAAACTGCTAATGAACTTAATAATCATATCCAAAAGAATCTAATCTCATCTCAACCAAAAAAAGGGACATGATTTTACTTTGATTCATCATTATTTCTAAGCAACATTGACCTTTGAAAATGAAATGTTATTTTCTTCCTTACCCAATAGTAATTCTGGACCACGAGTAATTACTTTTTGAGCATGCCCAATTTATAATTGTACTTGGAAATTGACAAGCATGCTACTCCTTACAAAATAAGCCACGTCCTCGAGCTGCAACCAGAATATTAATGTCTCTCCTCTCGAGCCGTTGAAGATATTCTGAATCAAACAAAATTACACCATTTAGTTTTTGAACCTGTAAGTTTGAGTTCAAAATGATTTCAAATGTTTAATAGATCTCTAATCAATGTAATCAAACTCAAATCTTCTTTCAACGACAATAATCATCAAAATTTAACACAAATAATTACTTTAGTATAGGATGGTTAAGAAATGCTTAAAGAATTTAGCACAAGTAATTACTTTAGTAAGAGATTAATTTGTAAACCGTGTCTAGATGAGCGAGTCCCTCTTACAAATCAATGGCATTCCCACAAATAAGAATGCTCACCATACAGTCTTCCAAAGAGTTCACAATATTAATGGAATATTAGGCTCAAATCTTAATTATAGTCTAGTTCACTAAACATGAAAACTTATGATATTAGGATGGAGCAAATGAATAAAAACTTATGTTAGAACAGACATCGATATTGAAAAAAACAGAGGCCAAATTAAGAGAATATTATGTAGAGAAAGAGAATTATAACTAAAGAAGATAGTTAGAGTTCATGTTATATCAGCATTGATAATGGCAAAAAATACTTGTGATGGTTTACATCGATGGTTTGACAATGTTTACAGAGGACACTTCACATTCAATAAGATTTCGATATCATATATCGTCTCCATATTGATGGTTTGATAGACGTTTAAATCACATCTAAAAGACAGGTTCAAGCACATAAGTTTTTCTCCGTGCAATGAAAGAGTTTAGACATTCTAGTAAAGAAGGGAAAAGCCAGTCCTAAACAAGTTTGAATTTTTAAATTTTTGGAGTACATTGATGTAGATGCTTATAGATGGGCTTCACTGCCCTTGATGTATCGTCTGCATAACTAAGTGGCATGTGAAAGTGTCAAAGAAATGAGTCATCGACCCTACAAAAACACTAGAAATCTCTATCTAAGTTGCACATAGCCCAAAGGGAGCTGTGTTCATCTTCGATTTCAACAACTTTTGACATGCAGTATAGTAACGACTTTAGTCTCTAAATTTTTTTAAAAAAAAAAAAAAGTTGGGTCTCTACACTCTTTGTGCGAACATTCAAAAGAGTAGACAAGATAATACATAATATATTCTTCACACCATCAAGCTCCAAATTAGTCTAAACGGAGTTAAAAAGATAAATCCACTTATTTTTTTTAACTTGCAAGTTGATTTGAAACAAATCAAGGTAGAGGTATAAGGTATATATAAATTGAAATTGAATTCAACGTATAAAATATGCCAAAAAGAGTATGTTAATTGAAAAATCAAATGAGCAGAAGAAGAAATGTACTTGACATACTTCAAATGGATGCATCCTTTTCCTCTTAAAAAACGACAGTTCTGTTTTCCTCGTATGGCAAAACGCGCAGCTCACAGTATGATTTAATTGCGTTCGTTAGACATTGCTTTTCTAAGGTCTCTGACTTCTGCACAAAACTCTGCAAATTATCTCTGTGGGAAACCCTCTCAACCTGATAATTTTGAACAAAAACTTGGTGGTTATATTAATGAAAAGAAATGGCAACCAACATGTTTGTATGGACAATCCGTGGACTGCGTATTTAATAGTTTTTTAGAAAAACAAGGGTTAAGAATGACTTGATTAAACATCCAAGAATTTATAAAAAGAAAAAAAGAAGGGTAGAGGAGGAGAGGAGGAGAGGAGAGGCATGGTTCAAAAATAAAGAACAAGAATTAAACACCCAAGAATTTATAAAAAGAAAAAAGAAGTAGAGGAGCAGGCTATGTTCAGAGATAAAGAACAAGGAAATATACAACATGCAGATTAGTTGCATCAAACAATCTAAAAGATACCATCTGTTCAATGATTGGTCCAGCATCGAGTTCTTCTGTCACAAAATGGCTTGTAGCACCAATTAACTTCACGCCAGCATTAAACGCCTGTCAATGAAATCCAACAGATTAAAGATGCATAGACAGTTGCAGAAAAGATAAACAAAATGGGAGTTGGGGAGGGGGGATTGATGGCTTGTGTAACTTGCCTGTTTTGAAGGATTACTACCCTTGAATGAAGGCAGAAGACCATGGTGGATGTTAATCACATCATTTCTGTAGCTCCTCAAGAAACTACCAGACAATACCTGCAGAAGAAATTTGATAACGGCCAGGATTAGGTATTGAATTGCTCAATGAATCAGTTAACACTAAGAAATTGAATTAAGATTTACTTTACTTTTCAACAAGACAACATCCATTGACTTTGTAGATCTCGGATTTCATGAAGAACATAATTTGGAACTTCATAATTAACTAATTTTTTTCAAAAGAATTCAGCTGGTACGAATGCATAAGTATTATGATCCAATTTACCTGCATATACCTGGCGAGTACTAAAAAATCAGTATTCTTCACCAATTCCAATATCTCTCCTTCTCTTTTATTATCATTGTATGTGTGCAAATAATGATAAGCAATACCATGCCTTTCAAGAAATCGCATCACGTGGGTGTTGGGGGCTCTATCGTGATTACTGAAACAAGTGGATTGAGAAGAAAGGTCACGGTACTTCGAAACAAATTAAAGAAGCAAGTTTCGGAAAATTGACCTTATAACACAAGTTATTTCCACTGGAAGTTTCCCTCCTTGCCAGTGATGAAGTAAGTCAACCAGACAATGATCCTGCAATGGGAAAAGTAAGTTAATCTCAAATATCCATGCAAACAAAAAAGATTGACATGAAATTGACCGGTATATGTATACCTGTTTTGAAGCAAGAATTGCAATCTTATACTTGGGGTCTTGATCTGGTACTCGGACAACAGATTTCCAAGCGTTAAATGTTTTGGAAATCTTAAGGAAGTCTTCATCCATTTGCATCCTAGGCCATTTACAAGGATCAAAAAGAAACTGGCTGCACATAAAACGAAAGTCAGACACGGGTGGTGGTTCAAGCTGAGTTTTCGCTTTCAGCATAGTGCACAAGAGAAATCCAAATTGCTTCCTTGAAGATATAATAAAGTTCAAAAGGATATTCATCACAGCCAAGTTAATGGCCATAAAACTAAAAAATGTACTAGTTTTTACAGACAAAAACAGGTTCACAGCGTAGCATACATAATCCCACTAGGGAGCAGTATGTGTACAATCGGAATACTCTTTTATTTCAAGTTACAAATGCAAGTCATGAATTACATTCTTGAACACAAGACTAGAAATGTTCTCTCATCAACCACTCTTAAGACTTCCATGGATACCAAAGAAGAGCAGTTATAATGTTCTAAACTTCGCGAGAAATGCTTGGTAGCTTTTTAGGCATGCTTTTCATATATGCAAGAACTTCCACTGTTCCCAGAAAACAACAATAACAACGCTTTTTAAGAGTATCAAGTATGCAAGAACTTCCACTGTTCCCAGAAAGGAAAAAACAAAGTAAAATCATGTTCCTCTCAAATTGTAGTTACTAATGCAAGTCTTCAATAACATCCCAGAAAGCAGCAATTATGTCAGTATAATATTGCAGTTACTGATGCAAGTCCTCAGTAACAGCCAGGAACACAAGATCAAATTTCACTCTTGAAAATTATGAGTAATCCTGATATACAATAAAAGGAGGACACGGCTTATAGAGATACAAGAAAAAATATAGTAGAAAATGAAATATGAGCATGGATGTCTTTCTTGACTCACCACAAGGTCATGGAACATGTTGCTTAACAAGGAGTTAATCAAACGTAAAGTTCATATATTAAACCTGTAATAATCATTATCCTTTCATTTGTATCCACGTCTCCTAGGCAGACACCAAACAAAATAAAAGAACATCTTTTACTTTGAATGCGACAATTGTTGAGTAGATCGATTTAGCCTTATATGTAATTGCGTAAATTAGATTACAAAATTAAGGGGCTAAGTATACTGTGGCCGAAAAATGAGACTGCTCCCAGCCTCTTCGCAACACTAGCCTATGGTTTTTTTTCCCACTAGCCATGGCATGGCCGAACCATTGGCTTTGATACCCTCATCATGGCGCAAAGTCCTTCAAGCCTCCAAACCGGGGCACCCTACTAACCTAACAGTTCGCTGTAGCAGAGTAAGCTTCAAAAGCCCTTTCGAGATTCTTAGTCAAGCCTCAATGCCCAGCAATCTTTCTAAAGCGCTAACACCTTGACTTGAGATTTGACTTTGCAGATGTCAAGACTATAACAGACCTCTTTCTTTAATCTATAGCAAAAATACAAACCCCCTTGATAGGTTCTGGATGGATCATATTTTCTTTTTGTTTAATTCAACAAAAGCCCATAATAAGATAGAGACATCATTTAACAGGATCTTTAACAACAAAGATAACCCTTGGAACAATTTCTAGATGGCGTCTCTTTTGAATCTACTGACTATTTTTTTGTGTAAACTTGTCTCTCCTTTCAACAATTACATTATCAAAACTCTATGTGTCAATTGAGTGATTTATTTATTAGCTGGGGCTTGGCCTCCTTCCTTATGTTTATATTCATATGATCTATAAAACCCTTTGAAAGCACAGAATAAGAAAAGGGCAGTTACATAGTACAACAATATGAAATGATTTATTCAGAGACCACCATAAGCAAAAGAAACCATAGATTACCTTCTGGAATAGAAGACGTTCTTGTTTTCAGGGACAAAAATATCGGCGCCGAGTATGTTTCCCCCTCTGGAAGCTATACATTCCGATAGCTTAGCAACGATTCCCATGGCATCCTATCACAAAACCAGTATAAATCGCACAAGCAATCTATCCTTCGTCTTTATATCCGATAATAGAGACATGTGTATTAGAATAGAACACAGAGTCGAAGCAGTCTAACTTAGTCAGCAATCGAAGGATTACTTACAGGACAATGGAAGACATGGATTCCATGAGTGAAAGAGGAAGAGGTCGGTAAATCCAAGGACTCGCCCGGAGAATTCAAAGAACACAAGGACCTATTCGCAAACGCAAAAACTCGAGGGAAAGTCGACGAAACTCTCCGAATGAGGACCATCTCCCTTCCTCCCTCCCAAGTTCAGAACCTTCCGAGCTCCTCAAGGCTCAGAACTCACAACGCACAAACGAATCCACTGCAAGAACAACAAACGAAACCCAATCAAATCCACTACCGAAAAAAAGGAAAAAAAGAATACCAGAAAAATCGAATCCTCTAATGCTACCTCCCTCCATTCCCTGACGGATTAACAAAGCTCCTTCGATGCCAATTGTTGCTCTGCTTGGAACAGAACCGGCCTTAGCCTCAATCAAATCAACGCCAATGCCGCAAACGGAAGAGAACGAGAGAGGATTCCAATTGCACTAATGGAGAAAGGGGAGAAGGAGAAGGAGAGAAGAAGACAGGTTCCGGAACCGGATCAGAGCTCCGGCGAATCGACGGTGAGAAAAAAATCAAAAAGGGAATGAAAATCTGGAGGTGAAGACAAACACAACAGATAGAAGGGAAAATTAACGTGAGGATATATTTTCCCTTCGAGTCCATTTTTCTCTTCAAAAGATTGAAAATTATTTTTAAATTCAAATTAATTTCTTTTTTTTTTAATTCAAATTAATGTGGGAGATTAAATCTAAGATATTAAATATTTATAATAATTATTATCTGAAATCTCCAACTTTTATTTTTTAAAATATTGAATTAATTAAATGTGAGATAATAAATTAAATTTAACATTATTTAATATATTAGTTAATTAATCAAGTAAACTAAAATATAAATGAATATTTTACATTGAAACATTAATTAAGAGTGATATTAATTTAATTCAATTGCTAAAATAGTTAAATATGTATGATTAGTTTATGAGTTTTGATATTTATGTCTATTTTAAAATTTGTAAAATATCTTAAATTTGTAATTTTAGTAGTTTGTCTCTAAATAAAAAGTCTGGATTAATTGCTTATAGAAAATATATTGTTGCTTTTTTTGATCATTGATATATATTTTAGCTAATTAAATTATGTATAAATTGTCCCGATAAATATTATCTCGAGAACGGAATAAAATAAAATTAAATTAAAATTCAGACTGAATAAAAAGAAACTGAGAGCGGTGATTTTCATTCGTATAATATTAGATTTATGACAAGCAAATACAGAAGAAGAAGCTTGAACACAATGTACAAGCTTCTATGACAGTCTTATCCGGCAAGAAACCCAAAAACAATGGCTTCTCATTCAACACATATGCCTGTACTTTCACTTAAACCCAATACACAAATCAATTTGGAGCTTTCGACAGCGTTTCTCGACGTTTTACTGCTAGGAAGATGACGGGAGCCGAGCGATATAGGTTCTGTTTAAACCTGTGGCAAGGCACATCTCCATGGAACTACCCTACATTTGCAGAGGCTGCTGCGTTCTCGGGGTGCCTTGGTTCTTCGTGATCCCCTCGAGATACTACCTATGTTTGCTGTAGCTACTACTCTTGCGCTCCCGTTCCCGTTCCCGTTCCCGTTCCCGTTCCCGCTCCCGCTCCCGCTCTCTAGTTGAGCCTCTGGGATGTCTTGACTCCCCCTGATCCCAGTCTGATGGTGGAGGAGGGGATGGCTCGTACCTGGATGGCTTTCTCTTGAAATGCCTGTCGTCGTCGCTCGACTCACAATCGACAGAAGCGGCTCTACTCCTACCACGAGCAGTCGCCGTTGTGACTGTCTTTGCCTTGTAGTCATCGTAGTGTCCACTGGATGATACCTTGTGATGTGCTGCTGAAGCACCAGAGTCGCTTGGTGGTGCTTCCTTTGAAGGGTGCAATTTCCGTTTCTTCATTGTCTCTTCCTCCTGGAAGCTAATGCGAGAAAACACGCTCGTCTTCTGCTTGCGGTCTGCAGCTGCACTGGTGGCAGATTTAGCCGAGACTTCAGAGGCTGCTTGGGACTCGGAATGTTGACGATGGCGATGGTGGCCATGGTCATAACGATCATTATTGTTATCCTTTTCAATACCATGATCAAGGTGCTCTGCCTTTCTTTTGCGTGGGGGCGGGCAAGGTGGTTCAGCATTCCTTGCAGTGTCGGGTGAGCTCTCAGGTCGGCGACGAATCTGGTTTGGTTCGCCAGTTGAAGTTTGAGGTGCAAACTTCTGCACATGATAAAGGAGAGGGTTCAGACAACCAATTTGAGAGGGGTAAACTTTTGTGCATCTCTTCTCAACGAAGAAGACAAAACGTTTGAAGATAATTACTCGATAATAATACATCGATAAAAAGAGGTTCGTTATCTCATATCCTAAGAAGCAATCACAAACCTATAGTAAAAATCGGAGGTTGATAAGGAATTCGATTTTATCTTACATGTTATACTTCTTGGAACAGATAAAATACTCATAGAATAAGGTGTAAACAACAAAAGCACAACATTAATATACAAAAGTTGGTACAAATTACAGTGCTCCAAAGTAAATCAATCAATGTATCACTTTATCTTACAGGTAGATGAAGAATTTAGTGAAGAAAACTTGTCTTATCCTCTGCTAACTTACTAATGTCTGACCAATTGATGGCATAAAAGAATTCAAAACAAAATTAAAAGTGCTGCACAGATATGAACACGACGTACAGATTTTTGTTTCATTGAAGAGACATCACTGCCTCTGCTCACTTCCCTTCCGAACTCCCGATCTTTCGGTGGCTCCCGCTCCCTGCTGCAAGATGTTCCACAATAAATTTAGTTGATATATCATAATATCAACAATTTCAAGATTAACTGCATATGTATGGACAATGCTAATACAATTGAAAGGATATTTTCAAAACAGCTTAAAATGGCTTAGCCAATGAAGCCTACAGAGACACATCGAAACCCAATAAGAGTCCAAAGATCACCCACAGAACAACACACTCCAACCTGCCACATTTTTCTCTCACGAAAAGGGAGTATAAAGCTTCAAATTACCTTTCAACTCGTCTCTCATTTTCATGGTTCCTCCTCAAACTAGTTTTCCGAGCCTCAAATTCCTCACGGCTCATCGCGGGAGGTGCAATATTCATACCCATGCCGAAGTCCGCAAGATCCCTAAATATGTACAATATTGAAATCTCTTCAGCAATGATACAAAACAGTGTGAAAGCATTCGTTTGATAAAGTAGCAGAAAAACACAAAATAAATAGGATGGGGACAGACAATATGATGACATGCAATCAGTCACGTGCGCAAAAAGAAACACAAAGTAGATCTCATTAGCAATGAGTACATGCATTGCACATCCAGCTAAGCCCACAACGAATGGAAGCGGTCGATTAGGAAACAGAAGTACATATTATAACTGAGAGGTATGATACACAAAAAGGCAGGATTACCAAAAGCTTCTAGACGGGCTAATAAGCAAAGTAGACTAGTTACAAAGGCTCTAGTTCAAAGGAAGTAATACAATGCACTAATATTTCATTTGAAATGCTTTTGAAAGAAATATTTTTAAAGAAAGAAACGCACTTCCTACGAACGCTTCAAAGGAGGAGGGAGGGGTCTCTTCAAGACACTTCGACACCATGTCCCTTCCCTGCTCTTATCTTCAAAAAGTTCTATCATTACATTTCAACTACAAGTACCACACGGAGACTTTTGCCATTCGATTAAAAAAAACTCATTAAACATTTTTCTATTAAAACTTGTTAAGCATTGCATTTCGTATTCTTATAAAAAATAAACTATTGCATTTCATATAAACTATGAAGGCATACCTCTGAGGCGGAGCAACAGGAAACATGTAATTTTGCATAGCAAATGGATCCTGAGGCATGACAGGTCCAAATGGCATGTCCAAGGGACCTAACCCATAACCACCCATGTACGGCATTGGAGCAGCATATGAAGACATGTATCCGTCAAAACCAGGTTGTGCGCCCATCCAATATGGGTTATTATATGGCGTTGGGCCACCCATGGGCATCATATAGTTCTCCATTGCAAGATCTTGAGAAGTTTTCCATTGTACGTCTGAGAGTCAGTCATCCACAATAATACCCCCGACATTAGAGCAAACTCAACCAAATTCTTGATTAAAAAGAAGAAAAAAAAAAAAGCCAGGAGTGTAGAAATATTAGAGTAAAAACATCATGCAACAGATTTGAATACCATTTGCAGGCATGCGAACTTTCTTCTTCTTCTTTTTCTTGACTGTATCAAAAAAGAAAAGATAATAAGTTCCAATCCAAATTATAATAATATAAGAGTAAATCAACATGGTGTATCCACAGAAATTTCACTTCTCAGATTGCAAAAAATAACTATGTGGAGAAACTTCTTTAAATTAAGTTGTCCATAGCAAACCAACACATTTCAAACACGCGCACTATTCCTCATAATATTACCTGCCTCACTAGCCGCCATCTTCTGCTGTACTTCTTCATCAACTATTAAAGCGCTTCCTTGTGAAGCTTGTTCCCTCACACTCATCGACTCATGTGTAGCTTCAGATTCGTCAACTGCTTTTGTGGCCTTCGCCTTCTCTAAGCTCTGGGGTCCAGAAGTAACAGCCTTTTCCTCATTTACCTGCTTGGTCATTGTAGTCTCTTCGTTGACTGACTGTATATTTCTTTCTCCCTTAGAAGCAGCAGATACGGTAGGGGAAGGAACCTTTGGCTGTGCAATGCGAGCAGATTCCATATCTAAACATGAATTATCAACCGGAAGAAGTCATAATATAGCAAAGAAAAATCTCAGTCCAAGTGAAAGACCAAAACTATAAAACACATACCTTGCACCTGAAAGGTACTACCAGCATTATCAGCACTACTATTACCAGACTCCAGAATGCGATTGATTGTATCCCTGAGTGTCTTATTTGGCAAGAGATCATCTGCAAGAATGTTGGTCGCTCCACAAGCGCATGCTGACTTAGAGATAATATGGTCCCTAATACCTGTGACAAACGTTTTACACATTCAAAAAGCTAACTTTTAGTATGCGCAGGAGAGGCATGCATAATGTTTTAAGAACTCACAGTAATTAACAGGGTCAAGCTAACTGAACGGTAACTAACACTTGAAATAACTGGAGTTCTTAACTCCAAAAGATGTTATTTAGTAAAAAGAACCACGTGGTAGTAATAGTTACAAAATTGTAGTCTTACATTTATCACAAAAGCTCATAAAGCAACACTTGCTTGTTAAGACAGCATCTTTCATAACCTCCTTGCACAGAGGACAGTGAAGCTCAGGGGGAAAATCACCAACTGAACGTGTCGAAGGTAGTCCTTCAATTTCCTTCTCAAAAGCAGCCCTGTTTCGTTCAGGTATGATGAATGAATGACTAGAGTAGACCAAATCCACAATTAAACTGAAACACACTGAAAAATATATCTTACTCATTCGGCCTCAAGACAGCTACAGCACCACTTGGCAATGCATATGAGCCATCAGGAGTGGCCATCAGCATAGACTTCGGAATCCCAGTGGGAGGCTTCACTCTTTTTATGTCATAAGTCGGATCCCCATTTGTGGGGCAATGTTGAATAAAATGTCCTGGACACAGAAATTAATACATTCAGATCCCCGCAGAAGGTAAGGAAAATGAAAAAAGAAAATACCTAAGACAAACAATGCCTTAACTAAGAAAAACATGAACGCACCAGGAACTTTGCATCTGTGACACACGTATCCCTGTGGAGGTGTTTTCCTTTCAAATCCTGCACAATATCGCCAAATGATACAGAGATTAGAGTTGAGTGATGATTTTATTACATTTTGGGTTTAAGCTGATGGCAGCAATATAGCCAATGTTCATCACATGAATCATTAAATAAAATATAAATTGGTGAGGATAAGTCCTTACCAAAACCACGTCCTCCCATCCTTCCACCGGCGCCTCTTCCAAAACCCCTACTGGGTCCAAAGCCATCAGAACCTTGACTGCAATCCATAAATGCACGTTGATAATCAGAATTATAAATAAACACATCACAACTGACAGTTGCAACAATAGTAGAATGTAACTCACTGTTGCCAATCTAAGGCTGGGGTATCAATTAAAGCCTTAATTTTGCTGTCCTCTTCAGCTCTATTTGTAGGAGGTGCATCTGGAATAGGATTACTTGGCTGAACTGGAAGCACTTCAGGAATTGCATACAGATCGTTACCAAACTCATCCCACTCAGAATCTTCGGTCTGTCAGATCAAAAGATGTGTCAATTAAAAGATTGTCGAAGCAATAACATCATACAATCTGAATCAAATACAAATTCATAATATGAAGACTAAGGCTCACAAATCTCAGGGCAGCTGATGAATCTGAAACTGGAACAGTTGAATTGTATTGTTCGGTCCCTTCAATTTCACCTTCCACTTTTGGCCTGCAAAACCAAACACCCTCACTAAGTCAAATCATCAAAAGTTATCTCCATAAGAAACTGACTTCAGATTTGCATTTACATGTACAGCAGTTTATTTTGTTTATAGGCTTATGCTCTCGGGACCTAGGGGCACCAACTCGGTGCTGCTAACACATGTGGCATGATGAACATTCTTTTCTTCATTTTACAAAGAAGAAAGGATGTTCATTTAAGGAAGATGATATGATATAAATTATATAAAATAAAAAAAAAATCAAACACACATGTAACATCAACTTATACAAAAACCATTTGATTAAAGGTTAAAGATCGTACTCTTGTTTTGTAACAATGGGTAAACGAGGTCTTCCAGGAACACGACGAATTAAAACTGAAGTATTCTTTGGGATCAACATTGCTTCATCAAGATATTCTGAAAATTACAAAGGAGATAACAGAATCTATAAAACAATAGAACGATATCAATCCAAAAACCAGACTTAGAATATGTGAATCTCCATAGACGGTCAGAAGAACCCCATTGTAATTCTTCCAGATATTAATACAAGGATAATCTCGTAAGCTATCCAACATTGTTAAACTGACCATTCAATTAAAAACCAAAACATAATGAAATTCCCACAGTTCTTAGTTTCAGAAAAGTCACAAGTTAAGTGTTTATGCAATTAAATGCCTTCAAACCTGGAATTTTAGACTAGAAATCAAATAAATCTTCCAAAAATTTAGGAGATAATTGGTGGTCGCAAGTAGCACTCTTCTAACAACCACGCAACCCAGAATCGTTTCAAATGTATCTATTAAAATTAGCTAAATTCAATTGGGAGCCAAAACCCACCTTCATTAGTCTGGGCGTTGGAGACCACAAGGTCAAAATCAGTGCCCCTTCCCAACTGCTTTGATTCAAACAAATTTTCTTTCAAAGTACCAACGGAGATGAAAGGACCGTCCATAGCAATTGAATCATAATCTCTTGCACTCTTAAATTTATAATACACTGCCATAGTACTTCTTTCCTTTTTTTTTCAAAAATAATATATAAAAGCAAAAGAAACAGGGGGGAGGATGGGAGGAAAATAAAAGGTTCGATGGCCTTCAGAAAAAAAGGCCCTTATATTTAACTCGAACAAATGAAACAATACAAAATATCAAACACTTTTCCCTTCAATAAAGCCGGGATGGAACAAATCGAACTGCCGAAAAGAGGGCTTCTACGAACTTCGTTCGCTGAAATTCCCGCTATTCTCGTCCGACAAAAGTACAATAATTCTCAATGGATTCCGTCAAAACTCCGAGGACGATAAGAACCTCCTCTTGATTTCAAGGGAGTTCCGTAGATCGCAGGAGCAATATTAGTTGTCCTCTTTATCGAAGAGTCCGCCGAGACACAAATAACTCAAGGAAGATCAACAAAAACCTTAAGCCCGCACCGAAAGTAAGCACCGAGAATCTTCAGCCCGATCAGATTAAAAAAAAAATTCCAACAGAATCAGAAATCTTATCTTCACAAATCGACCAACACAGAAAACAGCAACGGCAAGAGATCGGATCCTCGAAACAGCACCATTCGTCAAGCAGCAATCAAGATCCCGGAACTCCCCAACGGTATACGAAAATAGCAAAGATCGATCGGATTCTTCAACGACGGAGCGATAAAATCACAAAACGGAACAGAAATCCATGAAATCCAAGGGAAAAATTGGCGGTTCGAAGCGCCCAAGAGTTCGGAGTTGCGTTAGGGCTAAGGAAATACGGGTAATGGGAGAGAGATCGACTTTTTGGATAGCTTGAAAAAATTGAGGCTGTAAGAGCGAAGGGCCTCCTTTTATAGTCCACAAAGAGATTGCTTTCTTGTGAATTTCGGGTTTCGCTTTTGCCGGAAAAGCCGCGTTTTCTCATTTTAATCCGCGCTTTTTTTCTTTTTTTTTTTT